ACCATGGCACCAGTCTGAGCTGGGCATTCAGGACAGAGCTCACCTTGCTGTTTGCTGCGCTAGGTGATGTTGTAAGAATGCCAGGTTCAGGTGTGAGCCTGTTACAGGAAAACGGAAGTGTCTCCTGTCCGGTTTCACTCTTTTCTTTTCCTTCCTCCTCCCCCACTCGCCCCCCGCTTTTTTGGTCATATCCAGTGATTTTCTACATCCTTGCTCTGCATTTAGGAAGCACTTACTCCTGGCTCTGCACACAGGAATCACTCCTGGCAGTGCTTGGGGGACCATATGGGATGCCCAGGATTGAACCTGGGTTGACCACTAGCGAGGCAAAAGCCCTCCCCGCTGTACTCTCCCTCTAGACCCTTTTCTCTCTTCCCTTTCAAGCTGCCCCACTTTCTAAAGATCCGATTTCAGTCCTGTCATTCTCACATGTATCACTTGGCCAATCCCAGTTCGGTCTGACCTCTGGAGGTGGGCTCTCAAGGTCTGCCCAGTCTCAGTCCGCACAAAGGACCCTCTAACTCCGCTCAGGGATGGTTTCTTGCTTTTCCCTGAGTATTTCCCACAGGTACTCAGTCGCTGGGGAAGGTGTCGAGGGTCTGGAACAGTCTTGTTGATGGAATCTAATCCTTCTTTTATTCACAGTGTCGCCTGCTGCCTCCCGGCCCTGCACAGCCCAGCATCTGAGAGATCGGTGAAAGAGACAGCCTCAGTATCCCCTTGCCAGGGAGAGAGGAAGCCAGAGTTTTCTGTCTCCAGATGTTCCATCTCTCTGTCATCAGCCAGACACACACTCCACCCCCAAGTTCTTCTCTCAGCATTCCCTGGGCTTCCCGGGAACCTAAAACTCTGCCCTGGAGCCTAGGCTGATGGGGAAACTGAGATAATTGGCAATTAGGCCTGGAGGATTTGTTTCCCCTTGCCAGTGAAGAAGGAAGCCTCAGTTTCCCCTTGCCACCTTTCCCCCACGACCTGACACACATTTCATTGCCAAAGTCCTGCCCCGGTGGTCCTGGACATTTCCAGGACCATACAAATCTATTCTGGAGCTAGGCCAACAGGGAAACTAAGATATGGGACAGAAATGCCCAGAAAGATATAGACCAGCTAAACGGCATTATAATTTTCTGGCAACTTTTGTAAATTCTTGCCAACCCCTAAGGAATGCAAGGAGCCTTTAAAGGACACACGCAAAACTCCCTTTCAACTCAGCCCTACACTAAGTTCCTCCCCACTTGGGAGATTTTTCTTCTCTCTTCTACTTTCCATAAACGTCTGCTTTCCAACTCTGAGTCTGAGCATCTTATTTAACTCAGTATTTTCATTCTTGAAAATATTGAAGAACCCGGAAATCACGAAGGAACATAGAGAGCTGCCCCGCTGCCGCCCCCGCCCCACTTGGTCATTGCAAGGTGCTATAGGTGCTAAGGGGCAGTGGCTCCTGACCCAGGAGCATTGCAAACCCTGGGAGCTTGAGTGAAATGTGAATTCCTGGGCCCTAGTCTGGAGTTGAGTCAGAAACTCTGACTGTGAGGCCCAGCCACCCTTTTTTCAAAGAGCTGTATTATTACTGGGGCCGGAGCTATAGTACATGGGTGAGACAATATTACACACAGCCAATGCTGCTTCAATCCCAGCACACAGAAGTTCCCCAAAGCCCGTCAGGAATGATGCCTGAGTGAGAGCTGAGTAAGCCCTGAGCACTGCTGGCTGTGGCCCCCAAATAACAAAGCTATAATATTTTTTCAGTTACAGTATCAGGGATAGAACACGTCTTCTCCCAGAGCTATATCTCCTGCTTAAAAGCAACATTTTAACATGCTTCCTACATTTTGAGAAGCACCTATGTGAGAAGTGAGTATTGAGGCCACATGCCCTCATAGAACACCCTTGTTCACTTTAGCACCTTTCCCTCCTGGACTTTTTGCCAGTGCTCATGGTTATAAATGAAGAGGAGCCCTCCAGGTGAATTTGTTTAGGGAAATTATTCACAGCACCTGACGCACGCTAGGGATCCCCCTAGTGAGCACAGCCTGTCCTGTTGCTGAGAACCGAGAGACTCCCCTGCTGAGGGAACGCCATGAAAACTGAATTTTCTTTCTCCATATGGCCACACGGGGGCGCCACTGATCTGTTCGCTCCTATTTTGCAGGGGCGGGGGTGTGGTCTGACTCAGGCTGAGATGCAGACCTGGAGGAGGACATCCAGGACGAAGGTGCCTTCAGAGCAGTCCTGCGGTCAGGATTTGGAGCTGGGTGGGGAGTAGAGGAAAGGAAACCTCTGGGACCTTGTGCTGGTCTGGGATTCCAAAATGTCCCGAGAACCTCTTTCTCCAAGCCATGATGCCAAACCTGAAGACTGCAAGGGAAATTTCCTTCCACTCCCTATTACTTTACTTAGGAACATTCTTCATCTTTTATCGCTACCACATTTCTACAGCTAATAAGTGCATGTCAGGAAAGTATCATGAATCTCCACACTATTTTGGATGTTACCGTATTCTCTTCTCTCCTCCGATCCCATCCCAGGATCATGCACCCGGAGTGAGGTCCCAGTCATGTCTCCCAAAGTCGCCTCCAGCTGAGTTGGTCTCAGATCCTCTTTGTCTTGGATGATGTGGCATTGTAAGGAGGCTGCTCCGCTATACATTGGAGAAAGCCCCTCAGTTTGGGTGTGGTGGCCAAGGCTAGGGGTTTTGGAAGCCCACAGACACAGTGTCATTCTCAACAGCACTTCAGGGAGTGCAGGAGCCATTTGGTCATTAGTGATGATGGTCACCCTCACCCCCTGATGACACATGTTCCTCAGTTTCTCTATATCAAGACATGTGTTTTATTTTGTACATACAAATATATCTATTGTTGTAATTAAGGTTAAATGTACAGTGTTAATATAGTTTCTGCATCTCATCACCAACAAAGTGCCTAATACCATCCATCCACCATCTCCTTATGCTACTTATGTTGTTAACATTAATTCTCCTCCCTCACCTAACCCACACCCAAAGAGTACCTATGCTCCTTGTTTTCTTTTACACACTATTTCTTTAGGATGAATCTCTCTGTAACGCTCACACTAAGAACTATTATTCAGATTGTATGAAACTTTCCATTCTGTTTGTTTATTTTTGTCTCACCCAGCAATGCTCAGGGCTTACTCCTAGGGGGACTCAGGGAACCATATGTGGTGCCAGGAATTGAACTCCAGTCAGCTGTATGTCAGGTAAATACTCTACCGGCTGCACGCTGGCCCTGGCCTTAAGAATATTTTTAATTCTTCTGTATGTGATGTTTTTAAACATTACTTTAAATACTTTAAATTTTATGGCACTTATAAAATATTTGTCAGATCATACTCAAAATGTAAACTTCCATTCTAGTCTATGGCCAATATTTTTCACTAAACTAAACTTTTATTTGTTTCTGCACATCCAGGATGGACCCCTGCCTCCATATGTGGAAGGCCTGTGCCCTACCGTTGAGCCATATCCCCAACTCAAAGAACTAGTTTAGATTTCCTGACTACAAGAGGAGGCTAGACTGAAGAACTAGGCCATTTCTATGCTGAAAAGAAAAAAAGACAGTCGGGGACTAGATAAATAAAGGAGATGGACAAGAGGTTCTTGTGGGACCCCTTGGTTCTTTATGGGACCCTTATGAGACCTTCATGGAACCTTTCAACCCAGAATACTTGCACTAGAGGTGGAATGTTGCCCTGGTGGGGGGAGGAGGGTGGTGTAGGAGAGGGTTCTGTATCTGCTCTTCCTCTACTTGCACTTCTGAAGAATCTCCCCTCCTGAAGCCCATTACAAAGATGTTTTTCCCCCATGGACTAAGGCCCTGGGATGTGTAAAAGTCTATCTTGTATATTATATATAAATATATTTTTATATACAATTCTTGGTATTTGCACAAAGAATGTTGTTCTGATGATCATGGATTCTAAGTAATAAATATGATTCACGGAGAATAGTCAGCGCTCAGTGGACAGGCTGTGCACCCCTCACCGCATGCTTTTCGCTCACATTTCTTCCTCTTTCTTAGTTCTCATGGCGTCCATGGATCAGGTCTGCTCATCTGGGGCTGGTCCCTGGAAAAAATGCAATATGGTTTTTCTTCAAAAGACTTTCTAGGGCTGGTGAGATAGCATAACAGGTAAGGTGCTTGTCTTGCACCTTCCCAGAAATAGACTCTATTGCCTGCATTCCATATGTTCCCCTGAGCGCTGCCAGGAGTAATTCCTAAGTACAGAGACAGTGAGATTCACTGGGTATGAACCCTTGCCACTCTCCCGCCCCAAAGACTTGTTGTTAGCATTAATGTGTTGTTGATATTACTTCAGTTGAAATCATTCTCAAGCTTGAACTCTGCAGGAGAGAAATTACAGAAGTGACTTGCATGTGGCCAACACGGGTTTGATCCTCGGCACCACATATGTCCCATGAACCTGCCAAGAGTGATCCCTGAGCACAGAGCCGGAGTTACAACTGAGCGCTGCCTGGTGTGGCCAAACCCCACCCCCCCAAAAAAATCATCACCACCAACAATAAAAGGCTTTAACTCAGATTCCTCCCACTGCCAACACTGATAGGCATAACCTGAACGCACAGAAGCATCTCTGGGCTCCTCAGGAACTTGTAAGATTTAGCGAGATCCTTAAACGAAAACCATGGAAAATCCTGAGTCAGTCTCAGCCCTGGACACGGGGAGACAGTGTGACAGAGATCAGGTGAGGGAGCAGGTGAGAGGGCTAAGCCCCAGGCCCCAGGTGTGGCTCCCAGTGTCCCCAGGGTGGTGTTGGGGGCAGGAGATTAGTCCTGGGGATTCCTGGTCTCAAAGTTTCACTTCTCCCTCAGCAACCTGTGTCAGCGCCTTCTGCCCGGATACTCGTGACGCGTGCTCAGTCCTCACTCCCAATGGGCGTCGCTGTCTAGATAAGCCAATCAGCGTCCGCGACGCTCCCGGTTCTAAACTGCCGGCAATCGCGAGCGAGTCAGAGTCCACTTGATTCCTTCAGTATGTGGGAGCTGCGACCCCTCCTGCTGCTGCTGTCGGGGGCCCTGGCGCTGACCCAGACCCAGGCGGGTGAGTGCGGGGTCGGGAGGGGAGTTCGTTGCGGGGAGAAGGGTGGGAACTTCCAGGCATTGCTGTGCAGGACCCCCGAGAAGGAATTTCTCTGGTTTTCTGCCCGGATGTCCCCCAAATGTTCCTCCTTGTCCCCCCCAACCTTCAACTCCTCCCGCGCCCCTAAGTCTCGCCCTTCTCGTTTCCACTTTCCCGTCTCCCGAGCCCCCTCCCATTCCTTCACCCTGGACCCGGGGCGCGAGGTGGCGGGTCGGGCCGGGTCTCACCCCTTCGCCTCCCCCAGGCCCCCACTCCCTGCGGTATTTCTACACCGCCGTGTCCCGGCCCGGCCGCGGGGAGCCCCGCTTCATCGCCGTCGGCTACGTGGACGACACGGAGTTCGTGCGCTTCGACAGCGCCTCGGCGAGTCCGAGGATGGAACCGCAGGCGCCATGGGTGGCGCAGGAGGGACCCAAGTACTTGGAGCGGGAGACGCGGAACTTGAAGAAAGACACACAGTGGTACCGAGTGAGCCTGAGCAACCTGCGCGGCTACTACAACCAGAGCGAGGCGGGTGAGCTCGGCCGGGCAGGGACGAGCCAACACAGGGACGGGCCGGGTCGCCCGAGGCGGGTCCGAGCGTCCCCGAGGCTGAGGGACCTGCCCCGGATCTTTACGGGGAGGTGCCGCGGGGACCGGGCCCGGTTTCGTTTTAGGTTGGAGTCTAATCTCTGCGGGGCGGGTCAGACTCTCACACCATCCAGGAGATGTACGGCTGCGACGTGGGGTCCGACGGGCGCCTCCTGCGCGGGTACCGTCAATCCGCCTACGACGGCGCCGACTACATCGCCCTGAACGAGGACCTGCGCTCCTGGACGGCGGCGGCGGGCACGCAGGCTTGGCGAACCCAGCAAAAGTGGGAGCAGAGGGGTCAGGCTGAGCGCTGGAGGAACTACCTGGAGAACATCTGCTTACAGTCGCTCCTCAGATACCTGGAGCACGGGAAGGACACGCTGCTGCGCGCAGGTACCGGGTCCCTGAGGGTGAGGACCCCTGACCGCCCCTGGGGGGGCGACTCCCCACAAGGAGGAAGGAAGATAGTGGGGTTCAGTGTCAGAACAGCGCCCCTTCCTCAATTAGGGGACGGAAGGACCCGCCTGGTTTCCATGTTCTGTACCAGAGAGACTCGCCCTCCCCTCAGGCCCACCCTGTGTCCTCAGGACTGTGAAGGACCCGAGTGTCCCTGGGGGAGGGGCGAGCTCCTCTGAAATAACGAATGTGGGTTCCTGGACCCGGCAGCCATCTTTGAACTCGCTCAAAGATGCTCTTAGCTCTGACTCCTGCTTCTCTCAGTCTCTCACCCTCCTCCCAGGGCAGGACCAGGGTCAGTGTGTCCTGAGAGACTCTAACCTCCTTCCCAAACCCTGTTCTAGAACTTTCCAAGGAATTAGGATTTTATCCACTTTCTCCCACCATGTTTGTGTCTGGATTTTTACCTCCTATTCCAAACCAATTATCCTGTTCAACCCCATTATGGAAGTAACCCAAAGTGTGAATTTTCGCATTTTCCCTCCTCAGAAGCCCCCAGAAGACACATAACCCACCACCCCTTTTTTGACCATGAGGTCACCCTGAGGTGCTGGGCCCTGGGCTTCTACCCTGCCGAGATCACCCTGACCTGGCAGCGTGATGGGGAGGACCTGACCCAGGACACAGAGCTGGTGGAGACCAGGCCTTCAGGGGATGGAACCTTCCAGAAGTGGGCGGCTGTGGTGCTGCCTTCTGGAGAGGAGCAGAGATACACGTGCCGTGTGCAGCACCAGGGGCTGCCGGAGCCTGTCACCCTGAGATGGGGTAAGGACGGGGACGGGGCACAGAGCCTGTTCTCAGGGGAATCAGGGTTGGCCCCTCTGGGGAACTGCTGAGAGTCAGGCTGAGGCTGGGGATCAGACCCTCTTCTTCCTCCCTTCCCAGAGCCCCCTTCTCAGTCCAGCATCCCCACTGTGGGCATCATTGTTGGCCTGGCTCTCCTTGGGGCTGTGATCACTGGAGCTGTGGTGGCAGTTGTGATCAGCAGGAGGAAGCGCTCAGGTAAGATGGGGGAAGCAGGTGATGGGAATCTATCCAACCTGGCAAGTCTTGAGTCTTGTCCCCCTTTAGGGTTCCCCCTATATTAGTTCTCCTGCTGCATTAGCAGGAGCACCGCCCGTCCCTGTGCAGTTGCTCACACTCCCCCTGTGTGTGCCGCTCTCAGGTTTGCTCATGAAAGACACTTTCACCTCCATAAGCGGGGGAAGAACATGTGTCCCAGTGTCCCAGGTCACAGGGACTGTCCTGCTGAACACACACCGCCAGGAGAAGGCTCCTCGGCCGTGGAGCATTTTCTTCCTGCGTGTTTCCTGGTCCTGCCCTCACTCTTCAGAGTTCTGACACTTTCCTGGGGTCTGGGCCTAGAGAGCTGCTCTGTGGCCTCAGGACCCAGTGCTCTTCCTGACCTTCCCTGGGATGTTTCCTTCCCCCAGGTGAGAAAGGAGGACAGTACACTCAGGCTGCAAGTAAGTGTGGGCAGGCCTGGGGCCCTAGAATACTGGGGATAGGGATTGGGAGCTCCTGCACCCCTAGTTCCTCCTCTAGTCCCAACCCCTGTGGCTCTGACCTTGTCCTGTTTGTTCTTCCAGACAGCGACAGTTCCCAAGGCTCTGATGAGTCTCTCTCGAATCCTAAAGGTGAGACTCTGGAGGCTGGAATGGGTGGGATTGGGCAGAGGGGACAGGACTGGGTTTGGCGGTTCTTTGAGAGGGATGCTGGGAGCTGGCTCAGGATGTCACCACTTCTGTCACTCACCTGAGTCTCTTCATTCTTTTTCTCTCACAGTGTGAGACAGCTGTCCCACTGGGTTTCCTCACATCCCAATGTTGTGATTCAAGAACTGCTGATTCTATTTCTGCCCTGGGACCTGAGTGTGTCTGTGTCCTGCCACTTACGGTGATGGGAGAGAGAGACTGGCCCACCCCTGCCCACCGGGCCCTCCCCACACTGACCTGCGTTCTCTTGCTGATGCTCTGGGCTGTGCCAGCAGAGACAGGAGTCAGCCGTCTCCATCTGTGTTAGCTTCTTGTTTTTCTGAATAATGTTTCTCCCTTACTGAAATAAGCATCTGATTTGCATTTTTCTAATTCCTGTTTTGTGGGATTGAGGGTTAATAAAGGAAATCTCTAAAGTTTGAGAAGGAATAAATGGAAATCCTGAGACCTTCCATGTGTTTTCTGTTCTGATTTGATTCTGTCCCAGATGTGACAGGATGGGGCAGGGGGAGCGGGGAGACAGACCTGTGCCCAGTCTGTCTCTGTCACAGCCACTGTGGGTTCTGATGTGGTCACTCATCTGTCTGGGTCATCTCTCCTACTCCTTATTCTGGTCCCTCAGTAGTACCACGTCCCACAGGCCCTTGCTCACAGGGACTTAGGTCATACTTGGCCTCATCCTGTCCCAGGACGGTGGGCAGCGAGGGCTTCTGTGCTGGTCAGTCTAGGTTCAGGCCTGGGCCTGCTTCTCAGCCCCATCTGGATGTTTCTATGTTGCTTCTGTGCGGGAGGCTGCCTGATCTCTTGTACACACATTCATAGCTCATTCAGTTTGTGTCCCAATCTCTGAGCCTCAGGAGACATTTGCCTCTCACTGTCCCCTCAAGGCCCGGTATGGCCCCTGCACACAGGAGCCTCTTTCAGACTTGCCATGTTGGAATTCAGCCATCCCACCTACTTTCAAACTTAGGGGTTAGATAATGGGATCTTGAACCCAGGATTCTCTTCCCCTAAGAGATAAAGAACTGTGTGCTGTGGGGTGCCAGTGTGAGAGGGAGGTAAAGTGAGGGTGAGAAGCACTTGTGAGAAAAGTGGAGGTGACATTGATGTCACTTGGAGTAGACACTGTAGCTGCTACAGCATAGCATGTTGGTTGATGTTGCATGAATAAGACAGTGTCTCTACTATAGTCTACACTGATCCTCTATCTACCCACTGTGCAGATATGGCGATAATATTTTGGGGTCTATCAAACAACAGAGAATTAAAATCAGGCAAAACTAAACCACGATGCCCAACAGTAGAGAGAGAGTATGGGGGAAATTGTCTGCCATGGAAGCAGGGGGAGGGTTGGAAAGGGGGGACATTGGTGGTAAGAATGGTTGCTGGTGGAGGGATGGGTATCTGATCATTTTATGACTGAAATTCAAATAAGAAAGCATGGTTTGTTTGTTTTGTTTTTTATATAGTTCACAATATTTCATTACATTTAATATTCAAACACCAATCCCACCACCATTACACCTTTTCACTACCATACTATGGGTGTTTCTATCCCGAATTCCAATCCCTGCCCCAAAGCAAAACCAAAATAATATATTTTGTATTGTTTGTTATGAAAAACCGATGAAAATGCTACAAAAAAAGTATCCTTAAAGGAAAGAGTGTGGAGATTGAAACATGAAAGCTTTGTAACTGCATCTCATGATAATTCAATAAAAAAGAAAAAAAGAAAAAAATCAGGCAAAATTTACCAGCCTTTGAGATTTAATAGGAAGGGACAGACTTACGGCTGAAAATATAATAACCAAGGCGAATGTCCCACTTCTAAGTGTGTGGGGACTGGGACAGTGACTGTTTTCCTTGCCCTGTTGGTGTGGCTCCACAGGAAGGTGACCTTTGAGGAAATATGGAAGGATGTGAGGGACTGTCTGTGTGGGTGTCTGGGCCATGCAGGGAATGTCAGTGTAAATGCACCAGGGCAGGCGCGAGACTGTGTCAGGGAAGAGTAGACAGCAGTGTGGCTGGAGCAGTCACTGAGATGAGGTCCTGGTGCCCTCAGGCCCTCAGAGGCTGCTATGACTCTGGAAGATTTGCCTTTTATCTAAGAGGGGCAGCTACAGGCAGGTTTGAATGAAAGTGCAGGCTGGTGCAATTGTCTCTGGGTCATCAGTCTGGCTGCTGTGCAGATGGACAGGTGAGGGGACAGTGAGCTGCAGGAACTGGGAAACTGGTGCAGATTCCAGGGTAGAGATGTTGGGGGCTTTGGGGTGTGAACTGGTGAAACAATGGAACTGACTGAATTCTGCAGGCATTTGAAGCTGGACTTTACAGCATTTCCCAATGTATGGAATCTGGGTTTGATCCTGGCACCCTGTGTGGTCCCCTGAGCAATGCCAGGACTGATTCCTGAGTGCAGAGCCAGGAGTAAATTCTAAGTACCGGCCCAAAACAGAAATATAGTAAGGGAATAATAGCTGTCAAAATAGAACTGAAGATTTTGTCTATAGAACAGAACTTACTTGAGAGGGAGGGGTCTTTGGGACATGGCAGAGGGAAGTGGGGTCTCTGGTGGTGGGTGTGGGGTGGGAGTGATGTTATATATGAGAAGTATGAGTAGCAATATTGTAAACCCATATACCTAAATTTGGCTGGAACGATAGCAGAGTGGGTAGGACGTTTGCCTTGCACGCAGCCAACATGGCCGACGCGAGTTCGATTCTTCCACCCCTCTCAGAGAGCTCGACAAGCTACCAAGAGTATCTCGCCGCAAAGTAGAGCCTGGCAAGCTACCCATGACGTATTCGATATGCCAAACACAGTAACAAGAAAGTCTCAGGATGGAGATGTTACTGGGCCCGCTCGAGAAAAATCGATGAACAACGGGAGGACAGTGATACAGTACCTAAATTCACTTGATCACTTGACTTCCCGTTAATCATCGATTTGCTTAAGCGGGCACCAGTAATGTCTCCAACCCATTGTAATTACTGGTTTTGGCATATTGAATACACAACAGATAGTTTGTGAGGCTCTGCCATGCGGGCGGAATACTCTCAGTAGCTTGCCAGGCTCTCCGAGAGGGATAGAGGCTTTTGGGGCGGCCTCTAATTGCCCTAAATTAAAATAAAAATTAAAATGCCAAAAAAGAGGGAGGCTAAAAATGTTTAAAATATTCTCTAAAAACAATGTAAGGCCTTCTCCCCCGCTCCAACAAAACCCTCAGTTGCTGCCCAAGAATGGCTCCTCTGGCTACTTTTTGAGCTCCTTAATGGCCATGATTGCAGAGGCACACAAACCAATCTCGGAACCAGTGGCTTTTGGAAGAAATCGCTCTAGACTTAATAGTTGAAATAGATGTCCTCCAATTGTCATCGATTTGCTCAAGCGGGCCTAGTAACATCTTCATTTTGAGACTTTGTTGTTACTGTGTTTGGTATATTGAATACGTCATGGATACCTTATCAGGCTTTGCTGTGCAGGTAGCTTGCCGGGCTCTCCGAGAGGGGTGGAGGAATCAAACCCACTCGGCTGGGCTGGCTGCGTGCAAGGCAAACGCCCTACCGCTGTGCTATCTCACAGCAGTGATAGCAGTCATGCGACATCATTCACTCTTCATAATCAGCAATCGAAAACAAATTATTTAATGATGCCTTTTCGGCAGGTCTTGATTGTTGAGGAAAATTCCAAATAATAATGGTGGGTCTCTTGTCGTAATATTGAATATGATCAAAGTGGAGAGAGAGAAAAGTGGAAATCATCTGCCACACAGGCAGGGGGAAGGGTCTGATGGGAGTATATTGGGGTTCTTGGTGGTGGAAAATGTGCACTGGTGAAGAGATGGATGCTTGATCATTGTATGACCGAGACTTAAACCCAAAAGCTTTGTAACTGTTCACACGGTGATTCAATAAAAAAAAATAAAAGAATCTGAGATGAATTCTAACCTACTTTAAAAACAAATTTTAAATTTGTCTTCAAGTACAAGTATTTATATGCACTAATTTTGGTTAAATTATATGTAGTACTATTTTATGGAACTTATTGCAGACTAATAAAAATAGTTTTAGGAGTGATAAAAAAAAACATAATGCAAGGGCCAGAGGGATAGTTCAGGGGGTAGGGTAAATTTCTTGCACATACCCGACCCAGGTTTGATCCCTGTTATCCCATATGGTTCCATGAGCCCACCAAGGAATTATGAGTTATGAGTGCAGAGCCAGAGTAACCCCAGAGCACTGCCAGGTGTATCCCCCAAAAAACAACAAATACCACCCCACAATATATGAGGAACAGCTGTGCAACTGCTGTTCTGTATTAAGGGACAGAGACCAGGGAGTCTCCTAATTGTGCTCTGGGGCTCAGGGGTCCCTCCCAGAGATAACAGGTCAGTCTAGCAGATGGCTCAATTCTAGGTCCAACAACTCAGTGTTTCTGGGGGCCCTGAGGTGTCTCAGACCATCGGAATCAGCTTGGGGGCTTCCAAGGCGACAGCCTTGGGTCAGGGTGCATTTTTTATATGTTAGTCACTCTCTAGCAAAAAACCCAGTAATGAGCACAGCTTATTGGAATTTAAGAAGTTTATAGAAGGGGTTGGAGTGACAGCACAGTGGGTAGAGCATTTGCCATGCACGCGACTGACCTGGTTCGATTACCAACATTCCATATGGTCCCCTGAACATCGCCAGGAGTAATTCCTGAAAGCAGAGCCAGGAGTAACCCCTGTGCATCACCGGGTGTGACCCAAAAAGGCAAAAAAAAAAAGAAAGAAAAAAGAAAGTTTACAGAAGCTTTTGCTCAATAAGGATAGAAAAAGACAAGAAGGAAAACCCTTACAACATGTATAACTTATATTCTATTCCCCTTTACCAGAGGGGAATAGAACTCTCTAGTGGTTCATTTAAAGTTCTTTTTGCTTTATTGCCTATTAAATGTTCCTGGTATCATATATGATGAAAAGTGGATATGTTTTGAGGAAATAAGAGATACATGAGTGGCAGAAATATAAATTTCCCAGTAAAAAGAGGAATAAGTGGTAATCTTTGCAAAGTTTTCTACGTTCTTACTAAAGTAATATAAGGCATATTTCAGATTTTAAAAATATTTTCACATCGTTCAATGAAATATTTGTTCAATGTATTATAAAAATAATAGCATCTTTACTCTCAAGGATGGCTAATAAAATAGTAAAGAGAGCATCAATTGGGCTAAATATAAAAATTGTATTCTAGTCAAGCCTCTTAAAGAATTGAATGAAAAGTTGAAATTTCTGTGTATATTTTGATAATTACTTTTAAAACAGCAGACTTGTATAGTTAATTGAATACTTACACACGGCAATCTCAAGAAGAGGACTTTCTAATGGTCTGTATCTTAAAGAAATTTATGTATTTTGTGTCTTTTTATAGCAAGGTTGAGAAAAACAGGTGAGTAATATGTGCTTTTAAATAAC